TCCGCTGTGGCGCGCTGCCATTCGCCCGATCCTGCCAAAGGAGTATGGATCAATCGTCTTCTCAGGGCTAACCTTGCAGATTCTACATATACATATGCACATACACAGAAAGATTATACACATATACGTATATATATATATATACATGCGTAAATAAATGTCACACCCCACCCCTGAAAACGGTAACCTGCTACAACCGAGTAGCGTTCAATGCTGATTAGCGCCATTCCCGGAATTGTGAGAAAGCATTCCAACAGGTTCCGAAATTATGATCCGCCGAAATCCTGCTGAGGTTTGGTCATCCAAAAATGTTCATGTATCAGTTCTTTAAACCTAGCTTCTGAGATCTTCTGAGCCTGAACAAAGCTAGCCTTGATGCCAGCCTTAATGCAAAGATTCCTTTTTCTAAATCCTCTGTAGGCCAGGGAATTGTCAAAGCGCGTCATCCAGCGGCTTCGCCAATTCCGTATCATACGCACGGCTTGATCCCCGAAACAATGCGGCAAGGGGGGTGGGAGTGGGGAAGTGGCAACGGGGAGGAGGGCAAAGTGGAGGGATTTTGAGTGGGGTGGGGTGGGGGGAGGGCAAGGCCCTACACCAATCAGCATCCAGACATTGTCGAATTTCCTCCCTGAACCCCCCTCTCTCTCTCACTGAACCCTAAACCCTAAAACCCTAAACCCCAGAAGAAGTTGAGGCTATAGCGGTGTTGAGCTTCGGCTGCCCTGACGCGCCCGCTGGAGGACCGTGCCTCAAAAAACTCTCTGCGAAGAATGCTTCTGGTTCCAAGTATGAGCCCCTGAGGTTGGGTCCCCTTGTTAACTTAGACACACCATTATACCCAAGCTTAGAAAGTGGCAAGCGACTGCAAACGTTTAGGCTTAGGGCTCCTATTTTTCCCGCATTCTTACACCAAGCACTCCCGGCGCAAGATCCGACTCGCGGGGCTTTGACGCTAGGATCAAGAAGCTTCAAAACTTAAAGCCCTCATGCTGCCACCGGACTCCGAACCTAGGCAGCACTAGAGAACATAAACTGGAGATACGGTGCATTGGCACCCCCCCCCGTGCCCCAAATGAGACCGAAGCTGCGAGAAGGTAACATTTTCTGAGGGCCGCACCCATTCTGAGCCTGGCTGTCTCCGAAGGATCCCCAGCAAAGAGCACCAGGATTCGTGAAACCCTCTTGCTTCCTGCCTCTTCGATCCTATTGAGATGTCAGTCAAGTCCTGGTCCACCTTCAGCTTTCTTGCATGCCACAAAAAAAAGTCGGGACTCACTTGAATGCCTGATCTTTACTTCTGAATCTACTGATGGCTCCGTAGTCTGCGCAACCGTACATCGGCACGGCTTCTCCGAAGGACTGCAATGCAGCAGAGCCCCACCTCATAGGTAAATTGAATCAGCAAGTTCCTCGCAGCAGAGCGAGCATGGCATGAAGGAAGAACACCCAAAAAATGGGGAGAATATTCTTCCTTATAAAACCTAAGGATTCTTGTTGTGGGCCAGGGTTCTACTAACTAAACCTAAAACCCTAACACCCTAACACCCTAACACCCTAAACCCTAAACCCTAAACCCTGCGGTCCAGATCTGCTCGACTCGCTTCCGGATCATGAAGCACTGCTTCGCCTGAGCAGGACCTTGCGAGGAACACTGCGGGCAAGGGAGAGGAACCTTGGGATGTTCCCGTTTTTTCAAGCCGTCGGTTTAGGGTTTAGGGTTTAGGGTTTAGGGTTTAGGGTTTAGGGTTTAGGGTTTAGGGGTTTAGGGTTTAGGGTTTAGGGTTTAGGGTGATTACAATTTTGAATACTGGGCTCTTAGGGAGTTCGCCCTTCTACTAAAAGTCCTTCATCGGGAGTAGAAGAGGGGGTACGTTAAATCCCTATTGATGACTGTTAGCATAAGGGAGGACATCCCAAACTGGGCTCTTAGGGAGGTACACCTAGAACTACTACTTGCTTAAGAACCCCAAAAAAAACATTTAAAAACATGTTCTTCCTTATTAAGGGGAATATAGGGAGTATCACTTTTGGTTCTTGTGGGGTTCTTAAGCAAATAGTAGCAGAACCAGCGTGCGGACTGGCAAAACAGGGTAGATGCTGGTTTCCTGGGACTTCCTTCGGCATGAGATGAGTTGATGCAATGCACGCACGTACGTCCATTCTGCTTGCACCAGAAGTGCCAACCGGCTATGGATGCGTAGAATCAGCCAGAGCAGTCTGCCACAGCGAAAGCTAGAGCTTGACTAGGCTTGCGAGATCTCAGTACCCGCTCAACGTTCACAGCACAGACTGACGCTTGCAAACACTCTCTCCTGACAGACAGTACCGCCACGCACCAACCCAACAAAACAGTGAGTCCGGAATTGCAACCACACATCGACAAGTCCATCTGCCGCTCTTGTGAGTAGCAAGAGGTCATCCATCACCTCTTACGTCTAACCACCGCGGCACCAGTCCAGTAATGTTGCACCTGAGCACTTGTCGACTGGTCGGTTACGCTCCTCCGCACGAGCCGTGAAATGTCCATGGCACAGACCTCGCATCAACCCCACACTAGGTAGATGTAGGCAACTTAAACCTGTCATCTAGCAGCCATCTCTGGCAGATGACCATCTGTGAGCAGCTCCAAGCTCGTGGTGGGCCTCTCCCACCAGACGCCCTGACACCACTGGCTGGGGGACGAACCAACTCTTGGAATCGTTTGGCACGGCGCGCTGGTGCGCGCTGCGGAGCAGAGCATGAAGGAGACCGTCGTACGATTTCTTTACGATGCCCTTTCAAGGGAAGCTGATTTGTTATGCCTGATGACGAGTGGAGGGGCTGAAAGCTGCAAAGCTCAGTTCAGTTTCTTTCGAATCCCAGCCTACTTGGGCCCCCCGCCCTTCATCTCTTGCAGTCCTTCAAAGAACTCGTCAATGGTAAGGGAGCCTCGGAACTTGCAGACTTCTGGATAGAAACTGGCAGCTGTCTTTTGCTGTGTACCCAAGACCCGTCCTTTTGAAGAAGCTTCCAAGGCCCCCACATCTCATGCTCTTGGCACTGTCAATGGCAAGCTTTGGGGGAATTTCCCCAAATCTCTATGGCGTTCTCACCGAAAGCCTCGACTCCTGCACTGGGGGGCGCACCATCTCCCTCATCCAAGAGGTTGAAGATCACCTGGACAATCATGGGTTTCGATTCTCACGCTGGCATGCGCGGGCGAGGCAACGAGTAGCAGGTCGAGTGGGTTTGGGGTTAAGGGGTTTAGGGTTTAGGGTGGCTGTCTGAGAGAAATGGCAAATGCCAAGGCACAACTCCGTAATGAGCTCATGAACTGTCAGAGACCCCGGGCAGCGCCTGGCAGTCATGCTCCTTGAAACCTAAGAGCTTCAGCTTTGTCGCGACCTCTTTGGTTTCGAACGCGTTCTGGAACCTGCGACGGAGCGGGACTTGTGAAATCCTGAAGATTGGCAAAACCACAACCAGAATTAGCCCTGGGGAACTCGGTCCGTCATGTTCCTTCTGACGCAATGCACACAGGTCTGTGGCGTAAGGCGCGAGCTCTTCAAGCGTGAGGCTCCCAGAAGAGTCCTTGCGCAGCTTCAGAATGTCGAAGATGCATGCGCGAAGTTTTCTGTCCTTGTGAACCTGTAGCCCTATCAGGGGTATATAGCTAGAAACTCTCCTGGACGGTTTGAGCGGGCTCAGTCAAGTGCGTGGTCCGATGTGTTCCATGTTTTCTGTCGACTCTCTCTCTCTGGCCCTCCGCGAGCGCGGCCTCTTGTCAGCTCCGGTGAATCTATGTGTGTTCTTTAGAGCCATCGGTCCTTTGCGCAAGATTCTTGCGCAATGTTGCCTACAGTGCTGAACCAATACAAAGTATGAAGTGGGCCCTCACTTGTATGTAAAGATCACCTCTCAAGGTCACATCAAGCATCTCAGTAAACAGACAGCCTTACGCAGAAAGACCAAAGAAAGCCGCGCCGAGGCTCCAAGCTCCAGTGTTTTTGATTACTTTAAAGGCCATGAGGCCATGTTGGTTGCCACTCGCCAAAGCTCCCCACAGTCAGTCCACGATGATTCACAGTTGGGGAGTTTGCCCCAAGCGGCCAGGCCGCCGAAGAATTCAGCTGGCTGTGGATACAGCAGCATGCCAATCCCCCGAATTTGCATCGATTTGCATTGGTTTACAATGAAACTCTGCGGCCCTTTCTGGATGTTTCCCTGTCGGTGTCGGTTGATATATTTGAATTGAAAAAATGTGAGACGACTAAGGCGCCTGATTTCGCACCGACTATTCAGATGGATGGTTGGTAAAGATGCCACAACTAGCCAAAGTATCCCCAAGCAAGCTACCCTGCTGCTGACTGTCGCGAACTGTTTGCTCTCGTCATCGGCAAGACACGGCTCTTCATGTTCATGCCCCTCCTCATCCATCATAGTGAACAGCTGCCTGAAGGTCTTCAAAAGGCGCTTCCTTGACAAGATGCAGCCGTCGCGGACGGTGCTCGTGGCAGGAATACTCATGACTTCAGCTCATCTGCGCGCCTCCTCTGTGGACATGGAAGCAGCTAGTAGGAAACCACCAGAAAACCTAAAAACCCCAAAAACGCTAAAAACCCTAAAAGACCCTAAGAAACCCTAAAAACCCCAACCCCCACCCCCGAGGCTTCACCATGCTCTGGGGGCACGGCTCATCTTCTTCCTTTTGCGCCAGAAGTGTCTCCTCGTCCTGTCACGTGGGACTGGTGCTGCCGATTCCGAGGCGTGGCCGGGAGCCCGAGTTGTCAGCATCTCTTACACGTCTGTGTTCCTCTTATGCTTAGCTTGTCCTGCTTCGAGTGGCTGAGCGCATTTTCCACAATCACCGCAGTCACCTTGGCGGCACGAAGGGCGCGGCAGTCCCAAGTCACGCAGACACGCCGCACGCATTCCTGAGAGCCCGTCCAAGTTCATGAACACGATGACCTCGGAGTCGGCAATAAATGAATCAGGTGGGTTTAGGGATGGTTTAGGGTTTAGGGTTTAGGGTTCTTTGCCACCCGTCTAGCTATGCTCCACGGGGCAGGGTTTAGGGTTAAACGGTTTAGGGCAACTAGTGCCCGGATGGACTGTTGACTCCGGGCTTGGGCCACGGCGGCCACCGCAATGTAGGAGTAGAAAAACGCCCAGGATCCACTCACGTAACTGCCGCATGCGACAGGCAGAGAGCACTTAAAGGGTTTTGTGTAAGATGGCACCCTTCGGAAACATCTGAACTGTTGGCTGTGGCTGCATGTGGCGGCCTTTGCAAAGGTCTGGCGATGCCGTTCCAGGAGTCTAGCGTGAGCACTTGGATCAGCGTGTACATCCTTAGCACATGGGGCCACACTGGGATAGGGACCCGGCCCCAGCCTGCAGCAAACATGTGGGTTTACGAAAATTTGCGACCCCAAGTAGCAGGATTAATAAGGACCCGTACCCTAATTTCGGAAACCTCCACATGACTCTTGGCTGTGGATCCTGAGGACGTCACCAAGCCCAAACGCTGCCGGTACACTCAACCAGCATATTGAGGGTGTCAATCCTCAGTGGGATGACTAGTGCTCCTGAGCAAAAACTTTTGCGTAATTATGTAGAACTGCGAGACACAATTCACAACAACCAAAAACGGCAACATATGACAAAGGAACCAGTTCAATCACAATTCGGTTTAAAGTTGTGAGCGTGATAGTATGAGATAGTCAAAGAGTCAGTCAGCTAGGAAGTGTGAGTGTGAGTGTGAGTGCGAGTGCGAGCGTGAGTGCGAGTGCGAGCGTGAGTGCGAGTGTCAGTGTGAGCGTGAGTGGGCGTGGGAGTGGGAGTGGGAGTGGGAGTGTGAGTGTGTGAGTGTGAGTGTGTGAGTGTGAGTGTGAGTGCGAGTGTGAGTGCGAGTGTGAATACAGTGTCTGCGCGCGCGTGTGTTTGAGCTTAAGTTGGATTGTTCTGTAGTAGGGTTAGGAAAGAAAGCGGGCAGAGGGACCCGGGAAGCAGCCTCTGCCAACGAAGCCCTGCTCCAGTGGTAAGGATTTACAGGGAGGGATAAAAGGGAGCGCAATCTACGTACCTGCAATCTTTAAAGACGAAGTTGTGCAACTGTTTACTTCCAGCCATGTGTGATGTTTAGGCTGCTGTTTATCAGCTGGGTTTGCATCAAAAATTCCAAGAAGCATGCTCCCTTTTCGTACCGCTGGTTATGGTAGACAACAGCAAGTCTCGACAGACTTGAAAGACAAATCGCTTGACGAACTCTACCACACGTGTGTGTGTGTGTGCTCGTGTGCACGTGCGGGCGCACGCATGTGCATGCATGTGCATGCGCGCGCGCGTGTGCATCAATCTTAACTTTGGTACAAGATGTTGGCCCAACTCCTTCTCAACTTCAGCGCAAGATGTCGGGCCCGACCCAAGGAAGAAGATAAGGAGACCCCCGGGAAACCTCTAAATGTCCAAAGCTGCTGAACTCCAAAGCTGGCTATGCGGATGGGCCAACATCGGTGTAACCGTGCCAACGGGGCCGAGAAACTCCTCGGCGCTGGCGTTCCCTGCATCCAGGGCAGCCGCATGCGCTGCTGCAACCTGGGAACCTGACGTGGAGAGTCTTGCTTCCCACGCTGTTTAGGGTTTAGGGTTTAGGGTTTAGGGTTTAAGGTTTCTGCCAGAACCACTATTCTTTACTACTTCTCCGAGTGTCCAGCGGGCGGAAGATGGCAGAAGCGAGTCTGCAATTTTTTTAGCTTCGACCGCCTAACGACAAGCCTTCAGTAGAGGGGCCTTGTGCGTACCTCACCTCTTGGATGCAAAAGTGGGCAAAAAACCCAAGCCGTGGACTGATGAGCACGACTCCGAAGATGGAGAAGATGTAGGTGATGAGGCAGACAACCTGATGACCAGCCGTAATCTATGACTCCCATGTATGTGTTCATTGTTCCAACCTCTAGCAGTCTGAGCAAGATGCTACAACGGTCCAGAACAGCGTCCGCATTGACGCAGAGAGGCCCCGTATAAGCCTGGGGTCTGCCAGTCGATCTGATGCAGGGTTTAGGGTTTAGGGTTTAGGGTTTAAATGGTGCTGACTGCTGCAACTTCCGGCTGAAAAAACCGAACTCGAGAGAAGTAAACTCGGCTCACTTGCAGCTGCGTCGCAAGTAGACTTCGTTGAAGGCCGGCAGTTTTCTGACAACTCGGACCTCAAGAAGTTAGTAATGCAAGCCCGCAGCCCCGCAATGGTAGATCTTGCAGCCGAAATCCCTCAGCCAGCTTCGAGCGTCCTAGGAGTCCTATAGTAAACTCCAGAAAGTTGGAACATGGTTCAGGTATGATTAGCTTTAGTATACCTTTTGGGGTATGGGGACAAGGATGCTCCAACTTTTTGGAGTTTTCTGTAGCGCCCTAGGGCCTAGGGTTTGATGCTGTCAACTCTATGGACACTCAGGCCCCAAACCCAATACCCCAACAGATTCAATCTGTGGGCGTGTGTAGATTTGTTGCCTACACCCACAGGTATGCACAGACAACGTGAACGTTTCAGTCGTGTGAGTCGATTCCAATCTTAAGAACCGATTTTGAGATGCAAGGCGTCAAGTGACCATCCTGGTCGTGCCGACTGTAGCCGAGGTACGAGTCGCAGCAAACGAAAGGCCCGAAGTGCTGTGAAGACACGATACTGCCCGGCACCTCGGCACAAACATGGGACTGCGGACCCTCTGCAAGAAACGAACTCGGCTTTGCGGTTACAGTCCCTCGGTCAAATTTGCAAGGCAGGCAACCGCCGACGTGCAGTTTCACAGCTTATCGTCTATAGCCCGAGTATGTCGGAGTCAAAGACCGGTACTACACCAATCACGGCCAATAGAGCTACTGATCTGCCTTGGACCATGAGCTTCATGGCATCTCAGCCATATTGACTCATGCTTGATGCTTCATGCATCACTACCTCTGGCGACAAGGCTCTGCTCCCGGTCGCCAGCGGGACAATCCAGGACATGAAAACGCCAGTCCTTGGCCGCTGCTAGCTCCCCGGGACAGAGGGATGCCGCCTTCTTTTCAGCCAAACTCGCGACGCAACCCATGGACTGATGACGCGATCCCGCTCGGTGCAACTGCGGGGCCCCCAAACCAACAATGCGTCCATGAAGTTCTGCACCTGCTCCTGAGCAGGTTCTGAGCATAAAGCAACTACAATGAACTATGAGTGAACTATGTAGCAACGCAAGAATCCAAGGAATTACATCTCATCTGCTGTTACGCGCACTAAGTGTAGCGTCTGCACGCTACTCATCTGACCTTGCCCATGGAGCATTCTACCAGGAGTAGCAGAAGTACTGGGGCAAGCGAGCATCAAGAGCATGAGGCAGGCACTCTTCGGCTAGTGCAACATGCGGTGCATTGAGGTGGAAAAGGGGCATCGAAACCCGAAGTTGCCCCAAACCCTATAAACCCTAAACCCCAAACCCCTAAACCGTATGGGTTCGGTGGTCGGGGTTGGGCCTTTTTAGGGTTCTTTAAGTAAGGATCCTGGGGTTCTGAATTTGGGCTACGAGGTTTTGGGGGGATATTTGGGTTCTCACTTAAGGTTCTTCGGGTTCTTCATGGGGGTTGCGCTAGGGTTCTTAATTCGGGTTGTTAGGGTTTCAGAGTTTCCTGGGGTTGCTCTGCTTCTCGAGTCTGGCGAGTGCTTCGTATTTCGGAGGTGGGCTGTGACGTGCACGGCTCAGGGGCCCCCAGGCCTACTCACTGCAAGAAAGCCTACAGAATACCTGGTAGGAAACGTCAGGAAGCACACGCAACGAAGCACTTACCATTTGGGTCACAGGAGCCATATGCCCCAACGTCTGCATCCAAGGAGCCCCAACGGGGAGGACACTGGGCACGCAGGGCACGTAGGTCTTCCAGCCGAGGAAGGCTAACCTTGATAGCAAGATAGCCCAAGCAGGGATGCCCAGGAGGACGTCTCTCAAAGGCAATTGTCTGGTGCTTCTAACAAGAAATGAAAGCTACACTCTAAAAAGAAAGCAGCTGTTGACAGCCTTACAGGCACGCGCGCCTCAGCAAAAACTCGATCAAGAAGAAAGCCGTGAACAACTGCTCACCCACCCAGGCGACCTCAAGACATCACACTGCACCAACCTTTCACTGGTGGCTTGCGAGGGTGACTCAGCAAAACATGCTGGAGGGAACAATGTCGTGGAGGTCCCTGTCGTAACCGTGAACCCCAGAACCACTTGCACCTACAAGTACACAGCAAGGCATACTGCATGGAGTTTCTTCCCCATTTCTTTCAAAGGTGCGGGCCTGCTTGAGGTCGTCTGAGACTTCTTGGACCGTGTCGTTCACCTGCTCTCAATCAGGGCCCCCAAAGGCGCTCTGCGGACTCAAGCAAACAAGTTCGATGCTGTATGACTCGAATGGCAAGTGCCTGCAAACATCTCACCACGGAAGGCTTTGGCATGCACGATTGTAGTGATGTAGTGCTCATGGGCATTTCACTTATGGCCATGACTCTATGAGCGCATGCTAGCACATGCAAATTAATGTATGTGTGTATGTGCATGTTTTCTGTGTATAGTTGCTTTCGTTACGACCATTGCCTCGATACCAATGGTTGCGCAGTTGAGAAGAATGACGACCCTTGGCAACCAGGACCCTCAAACTTTGATGTAGATATATGTAGATCTGTGCACGGTGGCCATGGAGAAAAAAAACGTGCAAGCCTCACGGCATGTGCACTCTGCACATCTGCCATGCCCGGGACGGCATAACCACATGTGCCTCAGGCTGCTAAGAGGTTAAGGCGGATGCCCAACGATGGTCTCGAAGAGGTTGCTGCGAACGAAATCCTCGTTGGCTGCAGGAATCTCCGGATTCTGGCGGATGCAGCAACTGCTAAACCCTAAACCCTAAACCCTAAACCCTAAACCCTAAACCCTAAACCCTAACATCAGGGTCCCAGAGTCGCAAAGCAAACCCTTTTGGCACCTCATTGCCGCTCACTTGCGACCAATCACGAGGTCCGAGTGCAAGCTGAGGCAGCCGTGTGCGGCTCTGCTGAACACGCTGGGGCATTTAGGGTTTAGGGTTTAGGGTTTAGGGTTTAGAGACGCATCAAATGGAATCTGCAGCCGATCTGCTCAGCCTCCACCTATGTGTATCTATGTGGGGGTTCATCAAAATACCTGTTCCCAAAATTTCCCTATATTTTCCCTTCATAAACCAAAAGGAGCCCTAAATAATTCCCAAGGAGGACCTTTAGATCAACCCCCATGTTATGCTGTACATGTGGAAAAGTGCTACTTGCCACTGCATGACGACCACGCATGATCTCACTTGCCACGGCCGCGAAGCGGGCACCTGGCCAAGAACAACTGGCTGCTCGAACACTGGAGCCTGCTGGGAGCACAGAAGACGCAAGCTGTGGTTTCAGAGCCCGCTCCCCAATCGACTCCAGGGATTCGGAGGGGCATACCAGCATAATGGTCAGACATGGCTTGGGGCAGCCCTGTCAGATTTGCAAGAGTGGCCAGCCATGCCCTACACGTCTCCATGGGCATTGTACTCTTTTTTAGCTCTTGGTCAGCTTTGGAACCGCCCTCTCTCCCATGTTGCTTGTTTTCTAGCAGTTGCTTCGAGGGTTGGCTGGTGAGTATGACCCGACCGAAGGCACGATCCCGACGATCCTGCGCAAGCATCCTGAGCACCAAGACGACGGATGTGCTGAACTGGCTTCCCATGCGAAGACTCGAAGAGTACCAAAAGCAGCCGCGAGAGGTGGGTCGCAAAAACTCGCTTTGCCTAGAGCATGCTGCAGTAGTTCCTTGAGGTGCTTGAGGAACATGTTCGGCTTTTGCAACTTTAAAAAAAAACTTACCATCAGCCATGCTGAAGTGTGAAGTCGCCCAACCCCTTCTATGTATCCCCATCACTACCGACAAGAAGGGAAAAAGCCACACAAACGCAAGCAAAGCCATTTCCCTGCATGCGAAGAAAGCACTTGACATCCAACAAAACATTTGGGAGCCGTCGGAGCCCAGATTTCAGCTCGACTTCTGCGGGCCTGCAGAGTTCTTATAAGTGATAACAAGACCCCCGGGCTTGTCAGGGGATACTGTGAAGAGGGCTTAGGGTTTAGGGGTTTGATGCTTGGTGACGGTGACAGAAACTGGGCCCGATGCTAGCATTGCCAGATTAAAATAATTGGCTCCGGAGTTTTGCTCCAAGTGGACATGGCGCGCAGCACCAGCCCTAGACCTGCACTGGAAGTCACCATCCTACGCCCGACCGCTTCACAGTGCTTTTGCAACAGGAACTGGCGCAACCGCACATGCTCTACGCGATGCTCAACTTTCCAGCAATGCCGACACAACGTAGGCTCAAGCAACGTTCTTGTTGTCTTACTGTTTGACTGGCATTGCATGCTCTACCTTTGTGCCCCCGGCCGCACAACACAGAAACCAAGACCTGGAATCAGGGTGCATGGGGTGCGCATGTCCTGATTCAACTATGCAGTGCCATCAACCTTACTACCGCAGCAAGTAACTGAAAACGCGCCCACACACGCACACCCACGCACCCAAGCGTGCGCACGTTCGCACGTTCTATCAAGAACAGTTACATCTAACTTGTGCTTGTTCTTCATCAGCGGGCTGTAGCATTGTATTAGTTGTCGCTCAAGCCTCAAAAGGGCCTTCTGCTCGAAGAGGGAACTACTTGTGTTAAATGCCCTTCGCAAATCCAATGGGCGGCAGACTTGCTGAAAACGTGACATGTACGATGTTCCAAGATTGACACGTCAATCCCTCTACCGTGCTTCGCCGGCAAAGATGACATATCTCAACGGGTTTCGATCCCCGAATGAAACTCCCGAATTGTCGTGGGGAGGTCAAAAGCCGCGGTTGCAATCGGCTCATCGACCGAGAGTTGTTGCAGTGCTGTCAAGGTAACAAACACTTTTTGTGCAGCTGAAACTTAGGTCGTGTGAACAAAAGGGCAAGGATGCCAAGGTCATCCAGCAGGTTGTAGCACAACACGTGCTCAGCGTGTTGCAACAACTTGCAATATTAAGTCGAAAGAAACCTTTGGCACTGGCCACAGTTGCATGTGCAAGAGCCCTGCTGGTAATGTCTTCGCTGCAGCTGCGCGCAGGTCTTCAAGTCGGGCTTACCTGAAGGGAGCACGTGTTCAAGTTGGGGAAGCGGACATTTATTCACACTCATGCCTACTAAGATAGCGCTAGGGATCGGCGAGAGACACTTGGATGACCTTCAGCAGTTACTGCGACCCCCGCAACCCCCACCCACCATAACCTCTGCATGTGCATTGCCATTTAAGCAGGGATACCTGGACCACAATTGAAACCTAGTTAGAGAGCTACACAGCAGCAATCAACAACAAGATGGGCACAACTAGCTTGTGCAGCGAAAGCTCGTCCAATTTTCTGCAGAACCCCATCGCCTCAGTCATGAATGCCGCACACCCTTACAGCACCACAAGTACAAGTTCCACCTAGGAGCTGAAGGCAAATATTCGCTCTCGTTGTTTGAATGTTTGGCTTCCTGCTACTCTGAGCTACTCTCTTCTGCTTCCTCCTCTTCTTTTTCTTCTGCACTTCCATTCCTCCCTCAAAAGGAGAGCGGCCGCCCAGGCAGGAGGCCAGAGGGCTCGGTCAAAGCCAGTGCTTCAAAAACTCTCTGCTCATTGGGGTTTACCCCCCCCCGCCCCCCCCCCCCGCCACCCCCACCCTCGTGAGGGCACTAAGGTCCACCAACTAGGCATAAAGCAGGTATCCCCTCCACCAACACGCCCTGCCCCCCCCGCCCCCACGCCCCCGAATAAGCAACCGTCTCTTGTTCTCCCTGAAAGAAAGGAGCCTCCCAACAAGTCTAGCAGCTTAGCACATGCACGCCACAGCGCAATCCAATATCAAGCTCGATTCTCTCAACGCCAAACATTGCTGAAGCCCCCCTTTTAACCGACTGCACCCTACACCCTTTTGCATCCAGCTCTCTTGCAGCCAGCCGGGTTCGAGTTAAGCCTGAGGCACCCTTACACCCTAAAACCCGAAACAGCAAGTCCTGGTGCCTAGGCACATGAGTTCATCCAGAGCTTCCAGCATGGTCTGCACTGCTGAGGCTTCAAGGTCGCCTTCCGAAGAGAGAACTCCCATGCCCCCCTAGGATTTAGAATTTCGGGGGCCCCTCAGGCCCTCAGAGGAACTACTGGGAGTCGAAGCGCTACGGGAGTTCACCAGCTGATGCAAGCTCCACATCTTCTGCCCCGCCAAGAACAGCAAAAGACCGACTAGCCCGAACTGCAGCTCCACACGGCACGAAGAAAATAGCAAGCTACTGCAACTGAAATGCCGGTTGCACTTTGCTGCCCATGGTGGCGTCCTGCAGTGAAACGAAGAGCGTTGAGGCATGATGCGTGCAGCTTGGAGTTCTGCTGCACAGTCGCCGTCGCATGTTGGCGCATGTCTGCCCTCAACACCACCAAACCACCAAGCCAAGCTGTCAACACGTCAAGTCCTGGCAACCAGAACATTTGCTGCCATACCTGCAGGGACTACACGTTTTTTGTGGCATCTCCGAGAACTTTGACTTAGTCCATCGTTACAAGATTGTTCATACTGCTTGACCATGCTTCGTCTCCCTGCACCACACATGTTGAGCAGCGCGGTACCAGAGTGGAAGGGCTTGAGCATGCTTGGGTCCACCAACCCACTTAGATTCACGCCGAGCTGCGTCGCATCAATGGCAGCATAGCTCATTTTGGATCTGTCATGCAGGAGCTGGCACGTAAAGGAGCCAACGGCCTTGACCTGGTTGCAGGGCGGCCCCGCAGAGGGTGGCTCCGTTGGCGCCTCGGTGGGCGCCTCGGTCGGCGCCTCCGTCGGCGCCTCCGTCGGCTCTGCCGTTGGCGCCTCGGTTGGCCCCTCGGTCGGCTCCTCGGTCGGCTCCTCTGTCGGCTCCTCTGTTGTGCCCTCGTTGTCGGTTGGTAGGTCCACGTCAACTTCGCCTCTCAGCTGCAGACATTGAAAGCGCTCTCAAAGCGTCAGATCGGTGATCCTACAGCCCTACAGGTCTACGAGGCAATACGAGGCAAATCGTGAACAGAAACCTCCGGTCGAATCGAATGGGCTTCGGCAGAATCTCACGCCTGGGCCGGAAGGTTCACTCGTCGAAGTTGTCGTCGGCGGGGGGAGGATGCATGTTCCAGCGTTGCAGGATCCGACGCGGGATCTGGCACAGTGAGCGGCACATCATCACGCGCATGCAGCGGCGCTCTAAAAACTTTCCGACGCACTTGGTCTCTCGAAAAAGGCCACTGTGGCCAAGAAAGAGAGTGAAGAGAGTTCGTGCCAAGAGGCTCCAGCTCACACGGGGTCCCATCCGGCAGCTGGTTCAAAGGGGCGTTGTTCAGGGTCCATCCAGGGAGAGTCGAGCAGGTACCCGAGTACACGCACTTGAACCTGAGCTGTTGCTGACGGAAGCTTTGGGGAACGTTGTAGAGCGTACAAATACCTGCATGTAGGCGCGACCAATGTTTCATCAACTGACAAACTCCTCCTTCTCGCTGCCACGGGGCAAGCAAGGATTATCCTGTCGTGGCCGAATTCTAACGTTCAGCAGTCATGGTCTGGCTTACAGCTGGAGTTCTCACTTTCTGAGGACAAGGTAAAGCCTCTGTGAAAACAGCACAGCAAGATTTGCTTTAACTGGAGGGTTGCAGATGGCTGCCTGCAGCCCACAGAAGTCGCCCCAGGTTGGCTTGTATGCCGAAGCCAGTTGCTCGCATTTGGTGCCGTGAGTGGTGCCTCAGGTCTTCTCTGGCGGAATTCAGACTCAGAGTGCCCGCCCCTACAAGTATGGAGGGGAGAGGATCAAGCCATCCTAATCAGCCGGGTGACCTGCAAAGCAGAATCCGTGATAGCCGTTGCTTTGCATGACCATTGTTCCAGCAGGCCTTGGATTCGGATCTGCTGCTGCATGCTATCACTATCCTGCCCGCAACATGCCGCGTCTGCATGTGTCTGCGAGCCCCTCAATGCTTGAGCATACCTCGTTATCCACAGACTCTTCTTCATTGACGTGCATATCAAGCATTCAGCCCCTGCGGGGAGCGCTGGGCCACAACCAGCTGCCCCAATGGCGTCCCAGCAGCTTGAACATGCCCAATGCTCCGCAGCACTGCGCGTCTTTGCCGTCTGGTGTGCACTGCTTGCCCTTCTCAAGCCTGGTCAGGGCAGTGGCATCACAAAAGGCTTCAGCGAAAGCACCCGCGGAATGATGAATGCTTAAAGGCTAAAGTGTCACACCATTGCAAGGTATCACTATAGCATTTTTTCACAACCTCCGACTTGCAGTCTTTGCAATATTTGCAGGACGTCTCCCCCGGTTTGGCGCATTCGCACTCCTCATCGGCCTGCCAGTGTCACCAGCGGTTGCTTGTTGCACTTACTACATCAGCAGGCAAAGCCAGCGTATACATGTCCGCAAAGATCACGAGACGAGCGGTCTCTGGGTTTTGTTGAGACAACCCAGTGTCGTACAGCTCGAAAGCTCTGCATGGGGCCTCCTTCAATCCGTTGCCGCAGCCCGACCACTTTGGCATGCAGTCTCCAGACATGCAGATGCCGTCCTCTAAGCACAGGAGAAAGTCCGACAGTGAATGGATGAATCGGAAATGACTGTGTGATACTGTGGGCAGCAAACTCTGCTACAACTCAAATCATGGTGAAACCCGCAGGCGTCCCCTTCTTCTGAGAACGTGCAAGGGATCTGGTCGAGCACGTGGTTAGCCTCAGGACTTGTAATGAACTTACCGTGACCTGCGCAGCCCTCGTGGTCTTGGGCCGTGACCTTTTAGGTTTAGGGTTTAGAGGGGTTTAGGGTTTAGTGTTTACACGGTGCTGTCTCTGAGTCTGTGGGTTTAGGGTTTAGGGCTTTTGAAGTTTAGACTTGGCGGTGAACGTGTGCACCCCCCCTCGAAGCGTCCCCAGCAAACCTCCACATGCGCATGTGTCTGTGGGAGCACAGCATAGAACTGCCAGGCAAGCCCCCCACACACAATCCAGTTCCCGAAGCCCTAACCCTTTCTACCCAGAACCCTAAACCCTTTTTAACCCAGGACCCGAAACCCTAAACCCTAAACCTTGAACTTTGCCCGGCTGCGGGCTTTCCGCTAACGAGCCAGCCATCCATCGTGGCACAGGCACCGGTCTGCGAGTCCTTGCACCTCGCAGACGGTTGAGGCCCTTCGCTCAAAGAGTAGACTGACTTGGTATATCTTGGACTTGCACTGGTGCCTTGCCGTGCACCACGCATCTTGAATAATGTATTTAAATCTACGACAGTACACACATCTCATTGGTCACAAAAATGTCAGAATCCGTTCAGGCTCGGACTTGAACTTGCATTGGTTCGCCTCGTTGATACCTCAGCATGCTTATGATTGCTTATGTCTCACTGGGCTCCACCACCTTTTGCTGAACTCCGCTTGCTGTCTGAGCTGCCACAAAAATCCCCGACGAAGGAATATGACTGACCTCGATTGCGGGGGGGGGGGGGGGGGGGCAGCTCAGGCACCTCTAGTCTCCGTAAGGCTCCACAAGGCTCAACCCTAATCCGCAAGAGTACGCCACGGCGAAAGGTCAACAGTCCTTGCCCTTTTCTTATCTAGGAGACAAAAGAAAGGGGGCCCCTTTAACCCTGCATCTGGGCTGAAACCCTGGCTTCGGGAACTACCCAACCTTAAAGCCTAAACCCTTCATTTTTTGAACCCCAGACTCGGGCAAGCTTGCTGGGACTCCCTGACTTGCTGAATGCTAAGAAACGGAAGGCGAGATGAGACAAGTCCCTAAACTTTTTTGGCGCCAGGGCTCTCTCAAGTGCCCCGGTTGCAGACTGTGCGCACATTTCCGTGCCAAAGCCAAAGCCGAAAAGAGCGCCGAAAGGGAACACTACGGCAAACCAGCAAGCGTGACTTTACCATGCATTTTTGTTGGGCTTTTGAAAAATAATTAGGCCCTCTAGTACGCCGAGTAGTATAACAACCCAATACCTGTGGATCCCACTGTGGCTGTGCAGTCGCAACATGAGAACTCTACCACAAACGAGGTGCACTTGCTTGACAGTTTGGGAAGGCAATCACACTACAAAAAAAGATGAGGCACTCGATGACCAAGACCGCCTTCAACATAGTCAGTCTCTGCAATCCGAATATTGGGGGGCCTTCGTCGATACTGAGATACATGGCCCCAGTGTCCCTGTCCAGCCAAGCCATGCAAAGAAAGCCCTGAAATGGAAGTACCAGTGAAGTACTCAAGTCGTCTGAAGCCCTAAACCCTAAACCCTAAACCCTTTTGACCCCGCGAGCTCTGCCGGGTTTCACAGCAGTCCAAGCAGCCCTCATGAGCACTCGTACAAGGTTCAACATCGTGCCTGGGATCCAAACCCTAAACCCACAACCCTCATTTCGGAAACTACCCAAATGAAGAATCGAGCGGCAGCGCGCTGGGATGCACAAGCCAGCCGTGCAGAAGCCATCTTCGACCCCGGGAACCTGCAAAAAGCAAACCGCCCCAGATCCCCAAAGATGTTATAGACGTATAATATATATATATACATGTATATATCTCTCTACATATTCTTTCTTTAATCATAACTAACCAGTTACATTATGCACTTACTTGAATGTTACCATGACTACATTACATATACGTCTGTATACACATGTTTTCATTCCATGCGGGACTGAGTCTATACTTATGTGATATGCTACACACACACACACACACACACACACACATATATATATATATATATATATGTGTATGTACTTTTAATTGGTGTTTAGAAGACTTTGCGACTCCCCTCTGGGTTGCGCCTGGCAAGCAGTTCCGTGGGGTTTGAACTTGCCCTCACCGGTGCAGCAGGCCCCGCTGGCCACCCCGAGTCCTGAGGACCACAGGGATAGGCCGTTACATTATAGTATGCGATATTATATTGCATGTATATACTGCAAAATTACGGATGGTATACATAAAAATGTATGACCGTGTATACTATGATGATCTAGCGCTTTTTGCACCAGGTGTTTTGTAGCATCTGCACTCATACAAGCTTGCGGGCCATGTGGAGGTCCACCATCTACGACCGTCTCAAAAATACCGATGGCGCAGAAAGGTGGCGCATTCTTCCTTGGCAAGGCTCCAACGGACTTTACTCCCATCCCTTCCGGCGTGCACTCGGCATTGGCATCCAGCAGGCAGTTGTTGCAAAACTTGCAAGAGGTGACTCCTTGGATTTGGATGCGCGGCCATTGCTAGCAGTGAACTTTAAACCATCAACTGGAGCAGGCCGCAACATGCCCATGTTCCTATTGGTTATTATGATTCTTCTGATTATCACTACTATTTGTAATATCTGCTATTATTACTACTTTTACTACTCTGAAGCAAGGGTACGGACGTCTGGCAGAACATGATGCGCCCTCTGCAAGCTGCCAAGCGACCCGCGTCACATTCACAGTCCTCGTTGTCGGTGAGAATTCGGTTGCCGCACTTGGAGCTGTAGTCCCAGATTGCTTTGCACTTGCCGACGACACGGTCGATCGTCTCACAAATTTCCTTCTTTCCTGACAAGGTGCTGGAGAGGGGCCAGATTCGAGGCAGATGGCTGGCTCTGGCAGACAGCGAATCATATGCAGCTTAGTCGCGAAACTGCGTGTTGAACTGGAAGACACCGTTCAACGTGCCATCGCCGTAGTCCATGATTCCACCAGTCTTTCCCTGGCCATACTCAAAAGAATGATGGCCTGCAGGCGAGGGTGCTGCATGATTGTCCCTCGAGTCTTTGTGACGCACTTCGAACAGTAGCTCGCTGCGATTTTACTCCGATCCCTGTCCCGTTGAACCAAGTCCAAGTCTTGCGCTTGCAGAGTCAGCGATTGGCAGGAGAATACACCTGACGACAGCCTCCGAAGTTGTGCCCAACTTCATGAGCGAAGGTCTTCCAGGTGCGCTCGGAGTACCAGACGACCCCGACATTCCTGTAGGGAAACACGTCTTCATGCACACCAGGGCTTCATGACATTTTACGTAGCACTGTGTTGGTCATAGGGTCCATGCACTGAGGCAGGCACGGCCAGGATCCCCAACTCCTGAGTCCAGCAAAGCACCACACGCCACCGTATCGAAATCGGCTAAGTTTCAGGACTGCAGTGACCGGGAACGGCTGCACCAGCTAGGCAAGCCGCTTGTGCATCATGCATATTGTGCCGACATAGGCCAGGCCGATGGTGCCTCCTTGGGCGATGTCGAAGCAGTCCTGGGCCGCTGTTTCTCAACTTTGCACTGGCAAGGGAACCCGAAGGCTGCTTCATCCCGGCTCTTGTCTTCCAAGCTGCATCGAGTAGCGTCCAGAGGCCTCATGTGCCATCGCGAGACGAAGGCAGCCAAATGCCACACAAATGACACAGTGCCCATTCCTGCCCGGTCTTGCCATCTCATCTACACGCGATCTTACCACACCCTAAAACCCTAAACCCTCCCCAAGCACTAAACCCTAAACCCTACTGGTCCCTGAGGGAGGGGCCATGTGCTCTTGGAGGGTCCCAAAGCTTGAACTTATCCAGCTGCTGGCTGATGGTCAAGCTGCACTGGGGTCCTCTTTTTTGCTCGAGGCAAGCAAGGTTATGTGGGGTCAAGGCAGTCGTTGCAGTTCTTGAGTCGTTCCAGTGCTGACAACCGCGAATTCTGCGACAAGATTTGCAAAAAAAAGGCTGACTCTTGAGATGTTCAGTGCTCTACAAGGAGGCAGTGACTATGAAGCATGCAGAAGACAGACTGCCAAACTCTTGCTGATTGCGCGTCGCGCAAGGCTCCTGCATCCCAGGGCTCAGCCCCATGATGAGTCTTTTGCCTGGGCATGTGGCATCCTGTGAATCTCCAATCAGCTCTAAGCATGTGAGGGCCGGACAGGTGGAGGTCCTTGCACACCAGCACAAAGTTCATCTGCGGCTTGTAGATCAAGTTGGCTTCGGTGAACAACTTGGCAGCAGTGCTTTCGTGACAAGATCCTTCCCTCTGCCATGCGCCATGCCCTATGGAAAGGCCCCATCACACATGCCAGCTCAAGACGCAGCACCCTGAATGACATGAATTTCATGGCATGTCTTGGACCCTAGGAGTTCTTGCCTGATGAGCATGCAATGTGCCAGCTTTTCAGAACAAGACACCAAGATGATATAGTCGACCGCCTCATCCTGCGTCAGCACTGGAACCAGCAATGCTGAAGCAACCACAGCAACAGCAACATAACCCAGAACCTCACACCCAGTGTGGTGCGAGGCCACTGTGGCAACGGCATGGAGATGGGTCGCAGGGTATGTCGTGCTTCCGGGCAACACAGAAATCCATAACTCCTTGACACTTGGAGCATCTTGCAGCTTAAGGCGCCTCGTTGGCAAAGCGCGAATAGAGCTTCGAGCCGATCACGATACCATGCCCCAGAGCTTTCGTCTGGTCATCACCCGTGTAGCACTCCTTCCAGTGCAAACAGCTAAATGTCTTGTGACAAAAGCGCCTAGCGCCTACTGTTGCTCATGACTTGTAGCAGGCCGGTGATGGTGCAGGTCAAGGAGGGCTTGGTTGGTGCCCCGACTCTCTCTGGGGATGCTCTCTAGGCTGGTAGAACCCAAAGCTCTTGAGATCCTGGCGGGCTCTTTGCATCTACGTCGTCCGGGATCTGTATTCGGTGGGAGCACGTCACAGCGCCGGAGGGAACCCGAAAAAAGTGTGAAGGTCGTCGCGTTCGCGCCTCGGACCCTTCTCCCTCCAGTCCCATGCACACGCTACTCGTGAAGGCATCACTGTCTCGCTCCATGCAGTACGAAACTGCTGGTGGTTTTGGGTCGGAGAAAATCGGCCTACATTTAAATCGGATACTGGCAAATGACAAGCCGCGCAGACCCTCTTCTGGGAGGTACAGCGCCTGCCTTTGACGTGATCTTTGACATGACATCGGCCGCTTACAAGAGCAGAGAAAGGCCAACTCAAAACCCTCAACCCTGAACCCTAAATCCTAAACCACCCTACACCGCAAACCCTAAACCCTAAACCCTAAACCCTAAACCCTAAACCCTAAACCCTAAACCCTGAACCCTGAACCCTGAACCCTGAACCCTGAACCCTAACTCCGAAACCCCAAGAATCCCATGTCTGCAGGCCTTCCACCTCTTTGGCAGAGGCTGCGTCGCATTCGTGGAAAGGAGAGAGGTCGCCTCTGAGCAATTCTTCCCCAGGTTCTTGAAGCGGTGCTCCACCGACATATGCACACATACCATACTCGATCATATTGTACGCATATGATGTGTGTGCCAAGACATGCAGATGCGTATGCACATGTGTCCTATGCGACGGACAGATCATTCAGGCCTGCTTGAGGTAGTCTTTCTCCAATCTCCCGGTTTTGACGGTCAGCAGCGAGCCATTTCGGGGTAGTTCCAGGTCCTCGGCACTGAACGCTTCCCCCTTGTCATCTTGCCTTTTGAGCAAACTCTAAGCCAGCCCTCTGCCTGCAATCATGGCACAAAGAAGGTATCGCCACGTCGAATGAGGCCCTTCAAGGAAGACCCGACACTGGTCAAGGCCGCACCTGGCCCTTCCTGGGAAGAGGCATGCAGATTATGCAGATTGGGGGTGGAGCAATGGCCACGGGCATGCTCAAAACGCGTAGCTGTACCAAATTAAGTAGTCAGGACTACTTGGCTTGGCAAGGACACATGGGCGTAGCTAGCAGGAAGGATCGCCGTGGTAGGAAGATGGATTGCAACACTGCTTCGCTCATGTGCAAGGTGCAGTACGCTTACTTTCCAATGATGCCGAGATGGACTCGAGTTTCGTGGGAACCTATGGCATACAGGTCATGCTTCAAAACAGGAGTAACGCAGCATCAGAAGTCGAAGAAGCAGCATACGCGGCAATCACTACAGGACTGGGCTAGAAAGGATATGCTGGGGGTGCTGCAGGGTGCTGCACAAAGAGACTCCGAGCGTCGAAAATGGAGCGCTCCCTCACCAATGGATACGTATGATAACCTCGGGCATTCAAAAGCTTGTTTACGGCGTGAGCGACACACTTGCTCGCGGGCCGTAGACCAGTCTTGTCAAGGCAGGCAAATCACCGTGGTCGTCGGCGGCGCTGATCTTGACATCTCGAGCCATTGGCGAGGGGCCCTTCCTTCAGAGCAGAGCATGAAGCCCCCAATTTTGGGACCATGATGGCACAACTTAAGGTTCACGAGGACTGCCAGGATTCTTCATCGTCACATCCACGCCGTGCCCGAAAGCTTTGAAGCGAAGCCTGCGAATCAGCTGAAAACAATCATCAGCTCCCTCCGAAGCCACCTGGGGATTGCCAAAAATAGGGGCTACCCTTTTAGGGGGGGCGGGGTCCCCTTAAGGGGATTCTATTCTGTTTGGGGTCTAAACGGGGTACCCCTTATCATTTCGGAAACCCCCCTCCTCATGCCACGGACTTCTCAGCCCCTTCACCATGTGGGCACTCTCGCCACTTTAGGGTTTTTATTTAAGGGTTTAGGGTTTAGGGTTTAGGGTTTTTATTCAAGGGTTTAGGGTTTAGGGTTTAGGGTTTTTATTTAAGGGTTTAGGGCGCTCTGATCCCAAACCCTTTTTCAACCCAGACTGGACTGCTCTTTTTCCTGCGAAGCGGGCCTGCACCTCAAGCGCAACCCGCAAAATCTTGCAGCCAAGCGACATGCTTGCCACTCGCTTTGAAGGAACCCTAAACAACCCGTTTTGCCTTAACCCCTGAACCCCTAAATCCTATCGTCCGCGGGACCCCTTGCATAACCCCTTTTGCAGCCTCGTAACGACTGCCAAGTACTACCCCTAAGCCCCTGGACCCTTTTCCCCTAAACCCTAAACCTTAAACCCTAAACCCTAAACCCTGTTGAGCAACGGACTTTGGAGCCCTAAACCCTAAACCCTAAACCCTAAACCCTAAACCCTAAACCCTAAACGACTAAACCCTTATACCCTAAACCCCTAAACTCCTAAACCCCAAAGTCCCTCAACCCCTTTTGTGGACCTCAAGGTTGACGTGCGCGCATCGCCCACGTGCTGCTGGCCTGGGCACGAAGCAGGCCGAACTTTCTCGAACTTTTAGGGTTTAGGGTTTAGGGTTTAGGGTTTAGGGTTTCGGACAGACTCCTGGGTTTCTGGTGGGGTTTTTAGAGTGCGTATATGAAAGAGTGTCTATTTTCTTCAGAAGGGTTTCTCAAGTGCTAGGAAGAAAAAGTGCAAATGTATTTCATGTTTTTTTTTCGAAAAAGCGCCTTCAACTTCGTGGGTTGTGCATAGACATAGACCTCTATAGATCTGCAGCTGCCTGCTCTGGCTAGCAAGATCCGAGGTCAGCCTCTTGAAGCAGTCGAACACACCAGACTACACGGGGAAGCACATAAGACACAATCATAAAAAATCGTATCAGCACATGATACGAAGAAACGAACATGAAGCCAACGACTCAGCGTCTTTTGGTCAAGCCGCTCAGCGTTTGCAACAGGCTCGGGTGCGAGTGGAACAGCTCCTTGCCATCGTCATCGACCAGAGAGTACTGGACGGACACCTGAGTATGGACATCGGCGCGTGCCTAGCGGCTGAGCACTACTGAAAAAACATCGATGGGCAACAACCGTGCAAATTGGCTGCCGGATCAAAAAAAAACAAAAAAAGGATCAAAAAAAACTACGCAGCTCAGAGTACTAAAACTCGATTTTTGGTACGTTTTCGGAACCCGATCGAGGATCGAGGCGCTAAACCTCGAGTTTTGGAAAGGTTTTCCGGGCACGATTGACGACCCTCCCTCTCACACGAAACGCATCTCGAGGCGCCAAAACTCGAGTTTTGGGACGTTTTCGGAGCACGATCGACAACCCCCTCACACGAAACGCATCTCGAGGCGCTTAAACTCGAGTTTTGGTACGTTGCTCGCGACGCGATCGACCAGTATATTCTGCATCTCTATATTTATTTCTTTATATTCATGTTAATCTTAATATTAATCTTAATAGTAATATTAATAATAATATTACTGTAAATATTACTATTAATATTAATATTAATTTTAAAATTCATATGAACATTGTATTCATATTAATATTAACATAACATATCATGTACTATATAATACAATATGTTATATTATCAAGGAATATATAATATTTTAACAAATATTTAAACATATGATGTAAGATACATTATGAATAATATAATACAATAACATAGAATATAATACACTATAATAAATTTAATATATAATTTATGATATAATATCACATAATATAAAACTATTTCATTTTAATACATAACATATAATAATATTTAGTCTGTCTAATATTATCTAACATATATATTATAATATAGATATATATATATATATATATATATAGATATAATACATGACATTTAATATCTAAGACCTAATTTAAGATATATAATGCATAGTAATGGTAGTATATCATAAATAACATATAAAATATAGTATACAATATATAATATATCAGTAGTAGTAGTAGTAATAAAAATAATAATAGTTGTTGCTGTTGTTGTAGTAGTAGTAGTAGTAGTAGTAGTAGTAGTAGTAGTAGTAGTAGTAGTAGTAGTAGTAGTAGTAGTAGTAGTAGTAGTAGTAGTAGTAGTAGTAGTAGTAGTAGTAGTAGTAGTAGTAGTAGTAGTAGTAGTAGTAGTAGTAGTAGTAGTAGCAGCAGCAGCAGCAGTAGTAGTAATCGCAGTCGCAGGAGAAGTAATAGTAGCAGCAGCAGTAGCAGTAGTAGTAGCAGTAGTAGTAGTAGTAGTAGTAGTAGTAGTAGTAGTAGTAGTAGTAGTAGTTGTAGTAGTAGTAGTAGTAGTAGTAGTAGTAGTAGAAGACCCCCAGTTGCAAACACAATGCTCGCATCATGGGTCTCGAAAAGACGTATGCTTTGAAGCAAGCTTGCGCGATTTGAAAAAGCGGGGTCTGGGGGGGGGGCGCAGCCCCCCCCCGCCCCCCAACACGCAAACACAATGCTCGCGTCATTAGTTTCGAAAAAAGACGCTTATTTTTCGAAGCAAGCTTGCGCGACTTAAAAAGCGGGGGGGTTGGGGGGGGGGCAGCCCCCCCCATTTGCAAACACAATCCTCGCATCATGGCTTTCGACACACGCGTATGCGTCGAAGCAAGCGGTTGCGACTTAAAAAAGAAGCCAAGAAGCCAAGAAGCCAAAAAGCTAAAAGCCGAGGAGAGCCAGGAAGCCAAGAAGCCAAGAAGGCAACAAGCCAAGAAGGCGGGAAGCCAAGAGTTCCACTCGGAAAACGTGCCAAAACTCAGGGCCCTAGCGCCTCGAGATGCGTGTCGTGTGAGAGGGTCGTCCATCGTGCTCTGAGAACGTACCAAAACTCGAGTTTTTGCGCCTCGAGACGCGTTTCGTGTGAGAGGGTCGTCGATCGCGGCCTTATTCTTTTTTGATACTTTTTTATTTTCTTTTTGATCCTTTTGTATTTTCTTTTTGATCCTTTTCTATTTTTTTTCTGATCCCTATCCCGTGCAAACTCGGCTCAGTATGCCCGAACCATTAGCCTGGCTCCTGCCTGCGACTCCACCAAGTCACGGTCTCCAGCTCCGCTGCTGGATTGGTGGTACCAGCCAGATCACTCTCAGACATCGGGTGGTCGAGACCCGGCCTTGGTCCAGTACATAGCATGAACTACCATTGTACATTCGTCAAATCTCAAGAAGTTGAATACTACGTCTCATGATATGCGGTGAGCTTCAAGCAATATCTGGAAGAAATTCACCGGGGGGCCTCAACCATGGCATCTGCAAGATCCCTTAGGCTGTGTTGAGGCAGGCGGCCCAACAGCCTTTGTCTGAATCAGGTCCTGCACGTCGCTTTCCTGGGCGTGCATGCGCGGAGGCGGGCGGACTCCCTGTTGATGCTACCATACTACTACCTGCCGTCGCTTGAAACTGCTGAAGTTCGAGGTTCTGAAAGCACATGAGTCAAGGGTTTTGAGGTCGCTGCCGGAAGCTCTCATGAAAAAAGCTTCGGGCCAGGAACCCCCCGAGCCACTAAACGGGCCCGAAGCCCGTGCAACAAGCAGTCCTAGGGTTTAGGGTTTAGGGTTTAGGGTTTAGGGTTTAGGGTTTAGGGTTTAGGGATCTTGGACCGAGTTGCACACTGCTCTCCTTGGGAGCGCTTGCTCGCGGTCACGACCGCGGCCAGGAGCGCAGCAATTGTGCCGAAGCCACAGAGCCTGTGGGTTTAGGGTTTAGGGTTTAGGGTTTAGGGTTTAGGGTTTAGGGTTTAGGGTTTAGGGTTTAGGGTTTAGGGTCGCGGTGCAGTTCATGGGTTTTAAATGTGGCGTTTGCGCTCAGCCGAGCTCGCGCACAAGTAAAGGCATACTAAGCAGTGCAGCCCAGCTGATGCCGGAAAAGCGCGAACACGTGTGGCGAGGCATCAAGAAAACGAGCACTGCAAAGTCCGAGAGGATTTTTTGGCATGGGCAAGGGCCCCCCAGCAACCAAAACCACTCAGCCATCTGGGAATTTACGAAAATAAGGGGCCCCCAATATGGACCCCCAAATAGTAGGATCCCCTTTTTAATAAGGACCCCAATAAGGTACGAGTACCCCAAATTTCGGAGACCACCCCTCTAACCCCTGGCAAGTGCTGACAGCCCAAGCAACCCAATACGGACTCGACCAGGCGCCATCTCGGAGGGCCTTGCAAGATACCGGGCACCAGCTGAAGGGTTTTCTGTGCCACCCGTCTAGCCATGCTCCACGGGGCAACGAGAGCTGAAGGGTTCAGGGTTTAGGGTTTAGGGTTACGAAGGATGGCTTACTTTGTCTGCTTTGTGCCCGTCGGTGTTTGCACATCTACTTGAACCACAACTGAGCACAAATGGTGAGCGTGTCTATATATATATATATATATACTGATGCGAATCAAAACGCGAACAAGTAGGTTTAGATGGTCAGTTCAGACAACGGTGAAGAGTTAGAGGTGCCAGGCAACCAACCTGGAAAAAGTTTGCAGCTTGTCCCCCCGACGATTCTGATGCAACCGAGTGGCTGTCAGGCACTTCTACGAACCTCGCCCCGGGTGCTCCCTGAATCCTTGAGCTTATGCCAAGTCTTGGTCCAGGCAGCTTGCGGATGAGCAGGCACGTATCTTCAGGTGGAGCCACCACACAGGGTGCAAGCTTGCGTGCACGGCCGTTTAAGTCCAGGGAGCTCATTTCTACTCCTGCTGTCTATCTCAACTGTGAAACCTCACAAGAGCACTCTGGATGCCAGGCAAGGCATGTTTTCTAGGATGGCCCTGAAAACCCTCTGAAAATCTTCCTGAATATGCTCCCCTTAAACCCCAATAACGGAAAATATAAAATATCCTAAGGGGGCCTACCTAGCTTTTTTAGGGTTTAGGGTTTAGGGTTTGGCACGCGCTCTCTGCCAGCAGTGCTCAGCGCTCCCTTTGCTTTCCGAGGCCGCGGCACATGTGGCCGAACCCCCAGAGCATGCACACACTCAGGACTTTTCAATGAGGCCCGCTCCCGCAGGAAGCAGTCAGCCCCACTTCAACAAGCCCCGGGCCACAGCCGGAATCCCACTATACTCTACAACACACATAAGACTCCACAATCTTGAATACTGTGCTGGCCATTTGTCAGATAAGAGCTGATCACATACACACACTCGAAAATGCACCGTGTCAGAGGACCAAATGTCAAGCAGCCAACCTTCCAGGATATCCAATGGCCTACTGTCACCCAACGCGGCCTCCCTAAATTGCCACCCTTCCTGCCAGTGGAAAACCAACATTTGCAACTGCTCATCCTGCCAAGGACAGAACACCACTCGGCTCCCCGAACATGCTCCCTGAACACAGCGGCGAGACCAAAACATATGCTCAGCATCCGTTCTGCATACATTGTGTCCCTTGACGTGTCCAGCTAGGCCCACCCAAGCAAGCCACTTGGGCACAAACGCATTCCAGCTTCCGCTCGGCATCTCCGCCGCTGCTTCCACATCCAGATACTGCGTCTGCATGAAATTTCTGGCCCTTTTGGATCGCGTCCAATCCCCTCCTGTACGGTACCGCCGCCGCCAGCCCTCCGCCGCCTCGAAATGGGAAGTTTGAAAAGGGTTTAGGGTTTAGGGTTCAGGGTTTAGGGTTTAGGGCTTGGGGTTGTCCTCCTCCCCCTGAAACCGAGCCGGGAGGGCCCAAGGCCCAGGCAGCGCCCGGGACGGCCATGGGGCCGCCCATGGCTTCTCATGCAGGCACGTGCTCATCAGGGTTTGGGGTTTAGGGTTTAGGGTTTAGGGTTTAGGGTTGCTTTCCAAGGGCTTGGAGACATGCGCGAGGCTTAGGCCGAGGGCTTGCAAGCTGCCGCAAGGGAAAGCTATCCGGGAGCTTTGCATAGAGCCAGGATACCCTCAGCTACCCATGAGAAGGCAACCGTTCATGGCCCCAGCGCAACCCAGCGTTCTATTGGGAGGGTGGAGAAAGTGGCGATATGAGCTTCTGACGTTCGTCGCAGGGTACTGAATGGCGAGCCACGTCGGTGGCAGCTCCACTCGAGAAGTCCTGTCTGGTCTATGCACGCTGTCTCGGTGTGCCCATGGCCACAGCAAGGCCTACTGCACAGATGACCAGGGAGTCGGGGGCTTCGGATGCTGATTGGGACATAGTGGAACAGAAGCAAGCTTGGAGAGCGCCTCTTCTTTTTGTAGATGGGCCCATCTTCATCATCCTCCTCAGATCCCTTGCCATGCTCCAAAGCCTCGCCGAACAGGGGATTCTGAACGCTGGATTTTACCCAGCTCGTTTGGGATCTTCCCCCCTTACACTAGCAGTCCCTGACAGGATTATAATCGAGGGTACTAGAATCCCTACAAAGGACTGTTAGTATAACGGGGAACATCCCAACAGCCCGTCCTTAAGCTCATGCAGCTCATCTTGCGCCGTTCGGAAGGAAAGGAAAGTTGAAGCGCTCTTGTAAGTTCAGGCAGCATGATCTGACGGCCGCCTTCTGGTCGATTTGCACGTGCTTGGCCACCCCCTTCGACCCTGGGATTTCGATTGCTCCAGGACCTGGCGCTCTGCGAAACATGCTAGCAGTGCCTGCGCAGAATTTTCACAGAAAAGATTCGGCATGCACTGCCACCAGCCTATTGGGTTGACGGAGCTTAGAAGCATGCTGACTGCCGGTTTCCCACATTGTGGCACGACAAAGCTCCAGGCGATGCGAGTCCAGCACGGATAAGGTAGGTCCTCGCATGCTCACCCCCCTTCCGCAGAAATGTCGCTTTCAATGTACCATCCAAGTTCGGGGAGGGAGCTTCAGGCTTCAAACATCAGGCGGAAGGAAGCTACAAATTCATCGACATGCCCTTCTTCATGATGTGGACCCTGACCCTCACCCGTCTTTTGTACATGTTTGCTTGGCCTTGTTGACACGTAGCGACGTAGCATTGATGCATCGGGTAGCTGAGCATCCACCGCAAGCAGTGACGAGTACCCTGAAACAAAACATGATAAAACATGCAAAAGGGTCCTTCGGCCATCTGCCAAATAAGCACCAGGGAGATCTGCTGCAATCCCTAGGCGCAATGGGAAGCCTGATAGAGCTCTGAGCTGAGAACTGTCTTCGGCCGTGGGAAACTGCATGCGGATCTTGAAACTATCCGAGCAATCATTGGCTTGCCGATGCATGCTGAGATGCCTATGGCCTATGATGTCCTGCATGCCGAGCTAGGAGTCACTACCATATTTGAGCCAAAAAAAAGCTGCGGCTCTTGCTTCGCCCTAAGTTAGCATGCAGCGGCTTCAGAAAAAGAAAGGTCATGCAAAGCGACCATCGTCAACGCATGCAGGATCGATGACCCATTTGCGGCTGAATTAGTCCTGTCACGGCCTGAGGGCTTGGCTGCTCCAGCGTCCATACTTCAGTGCACATGAATCGGCCCTGTTGTTGAAGATATATCTCGTTGTTCATATCCCAGCTGCATAACCTAGATGACACACAGCTGCTGCTTTTTGTCATCAGCAGCTTATGCCGCAAAGCTTGGGTGAAACGCAAGGGGTGGCTACCTTACAAGCAGTGGTAGAATGGCAGAGATGCCGGGAAAGTGGCAGCAAGCTGCTTTCTGTAATGCTGGTTACCTGTCTATGTGCCAGCAACATGGTCCCGGTTCGCCCGTGAAATTAGATCTTGCACTGTGAGCGAACAAACTTGCACTTGGCGCAGGTTTGCTCATGCTGTGGTGACCTTCGAGGGTAACTGCACATCTTTGCAGAATCAGCAGGTGCTGATCTTGTCAAAGCAACATTGATTGAGACTGATTCCAAAGCCAGAAGTCGGAAGCTTGTGTCCTCTTGCGCAGAGGAAGTGGCTCTGGGTACTATCTTGACTGAACGACTGACACAGATTCCGCACATCTGGTCACTGCTCACTGATGTGGCGTGCACTTCAAAATCAAAAAAAACAGCTCACTTCAGATGCTTCAGAGGACTTCGGAAGCCTGGCAACGAGGCAACGGTGCGAATGTGAGCGATCATCATCATCGATGTAGCACCCTGACACGGAGTACCCAACGCAGCTACCTTGAATCATCACCGAGTGGGACTCCGGTACCAGTCTACCTCACTGTCCTCCATGTCACTTGATGATGTTCATGAGCTCGTCTCGGACGAAGCTTGTGACCTTGTGAGTGGGGCAACACCCAAGCATTGCCAGAAGCTTCTAACCTGGGGGCGCCCCAGAGTATGTTGCTGTTCGACACTTCCCCCCACCCTCGAACTAAACTCTTCTCCTCGCCCCGGTGTACTCCCCGCCCATCACCCGTATCCCACCCCAGAGTGCATGCACATGGAATCCCTGGAGTGCCCAACCCCAGAGTAAGTATCTGCAGAGAACCGAGAATCCTTGGTGGAAAAGTGTGACCAGCCCCAAGAGTATCCCCAAGAGAACTGAGTGCCCAACCCCCAGGGTATCCCAAGAGAATCCCTGACGTGCCCAACCCCAGAGTGAGCCCGCAAATTCCTGACCCGCAGGTGGGGATCTTTCTTTTTTGTTTGGGGGGGAGGGGAAAGGGGGGTTGGGGGCTTGGGGCAGGGTTCAGGCCTTCGGGCTGGAGGTCTCGGGGTCTAGCGTCTGATGTTGAAAGTTTCATGTCAAGCTTTCATTTCAAGCTGCATAACTTTCACATGTTATTGCTTCTCTTGCCGGACCCTATTTGTCTTGGGGAGGTCGACATCACTAAAACCTGACCTGGATGGCGCTTGCTTGCTGCTGTGGCACCGAAGATCCAGCTCCGTCAGAGGCTCGCAGCATGACAGTGTCCTCAGCTGCCATGGATGGCAACGAGATCGTGCAATGAAAGATGACTTAAAGCTCTTTGGCACAGCTGGGAGGATGGTTTCGAATCACCCTCCAAAGCTGATGGCGCATCAAGTTGACAGAAGGCCCCGATAACGGAAACGATGTAGCTGGTGACACCCTGCTCAGAAATTCCTTTGCGAAGTGTTGCATAACGTTAAGAAATGCGCCCGTGGAACTGAGCGGCCTGACAAAGACACGCCGCAAGCGCCGCCGAAGGCAGAATTTGTACAATAATCTTGCTCCGTCTGGACATTTTGGGGGCCGGGATTTCAAGCATGGGTCAAGGGGATGATCAGGTGCCTATAAAATGCGTGCCCCTATCATATAAGCGGTTGCGGTTGGGTTGGTGAGTGGCTGGCGAGTGGCATGTGAGGCACATTGAGGGGATGTTTCGGGGAAGAGCAAATGAGAAGCTTGTAAGGTCAAAAAGGGCTGAGGCTTGGCTATCCTTTGTAAGCATGTTTTTGCGTCGACCCTGTCTTTGAGTAAGCTCTCGTGAGAATTCAACCCGATCCAGGGTTTGTCAGGGCCCCTTTTTTTTGTCCGTCGAACGGGCGCAGCATTCGTCAAGCAAGCTCTCGTCGCTCGAACTCCAAGACCAGGTCCGCAGAAGGCTCGAAGCAGCCAGAGGCCCGTAAGTGGCTCGCGAATGGCTCTATATAGGCTTGTAAGTGGCGCGAAGGCCCATGAGGGGCCCGTAAGTTCGCAAGTGGCCTGAGCGGCATGTAAGCGGCATGTAAGTGGCATGTAAGCGGCACGTAAGTGGCCGTAAGTGGCGCGTAAGTGGTAAGTGGCACGTAAGTGGCACGTAAGCAGCCCGCAAGTTGCCAAGGGTCCCCGTAGGAGGCCCGTGTTGAAGCCCGCACAAACCTGTGCAGGAGGCCCATGCAGCATCTGCCAAAAAACACCAGAACTTAGAAGTCAGGCAGCCTGCTCTTACGAAGCCTCTCCCTGAAAAACACCAAAGGTTACGTACTCTCGTTACCCACACGACCTGATCTTACATAGCCTCTCCCTGAAAAACACCTAAACTTACATACTCTCCTTACCCAAGGGACCCGATCTTATGTGATAGGGGCACGCTTTTTATAGGCTCCAGATCTTTGCCTGGAATGGGGAGCAGGATGCCGCGTCGGCAAGTTGGCGAAGATGGTGCTTAAAGCCACCCCAACCTAAACCCCTAACCCTAAACCCTAAACCCTTTTTGCTACTGGACTGAAGGCAAGCCAGACTCCCACCACCGAGGGCTATGAAGCAACCGCCAAGCGTCGGACGCGCAGCAGCCACTCGCTCGGCACAATATGAGTTGAAACACTGTGTACACTGAGTGATGAAGGGGGCAACCCTTTTTGCTTCAGGGCTCCTGTGGTAGCTTGCCCCTGCGCGAGGTTGTTCAGGTGACATCATGAGAGTCGGATGATTTCGTCAACGACCCTGTCCTAAACCTCTTCAAGCAACCCTAAACCCTTTTTTGCATCCGGGCTATGATGTCCTGGCCGGCAACCCTAAACCCTAAACCCTAAACCCTAAACCCTAAACCCTAAACCCTAAACCCTAAATTTCATCGTGAGGCATGTGCGGCGGCGAGGGTGTTCATGGACGGATGATGGCTAATCGAAGCCAAGGCTCACCCGCTGATGGCTTCAAGCCACCGCTTTCCTGGCA